CAGATGGAGGAAAGTACCTTATCAGAGATACCTTTGTATTCTCTAAGAACAGACTACACATTTGAGAAGGCCTGGCGGATGTGCCAATTAAGCTTAACTTCCTCCTTTCCCAAATCTTACCTCTAGTTCCAGATCTCCCTTTAACTAACACCAGAGGCATCTAGCTGTACACAGGTTGCCTAGCGACCGAGCACACTTTCCCCCACCCTGCAGAAAAAACGGCAGATAGCTTGGACAGATAGGAGCCACAGGAAAAAAGAAGACAGTTTTATTTTCTCCGACTGACCTAGCAACTTATAGATTCTTAACATTTTATACCAATCACGTTTAAGACTATAGTTGAGCACATAAGATCCCTCTTCTTAGATATTACCCAAATTTAGCCTTTAGTTAATTCATTTCCCCATTGGTCACTTCCCTTTGGGGTTGCAAATGGTAATTAACGGTTACTTGCCCCTCTATGTGATTCTTATCACCCCTCCGTTTGACCCTGGAAGCCTGGCTTTGCACTGCCAAGGGATGACTGCTTGTAAGTGTATATATCCCGGGACTCCCAGAGCACGGGAAGACAGAGAAGAAGATTTGGAAGAATAAATGACTAGACCAAGAGCTCTGTGTGCTGAGATTCTATTTCCCGAAAATAGTCCTCGCCATTCATAGTTTCTCTCCTGAACCCCTGGGACGTATGGTATTAAGGCTGGTCCTTCTAGAACTATACAAGAGGCTGTGACTACGCACACTCACACGATGCAGGCACAAATGCACACAAACATGCAGCCCCAAGGCAGCTCTCTCCGCACAGCAAGCTGAGGGTGGTGGGAAAGAGCCACAGGTGCAGGCACAACTCAGGACTGTGCTTGCCAAGGGCTCCGCATGCTTGGGCTCACACCATGGCTTCACTCTGAGACTGCTTGTACCTGACTCAGGCTACATGTCTGGGGCGGCCATGTGTTAGAGCCTCCCAGCCCACAGCTAGGGAGGTGTTAGAGCTTCTCAGCCCACAGCTAGGGAGGTGTTAGAGCTTCTCAGTCCACACCTAGGGAGGTGTTAGAGCCTCCCAGCCCACAGCTAAGGAGGTGTTAGAGCCTCCCAGCCCACAGCTAGGGAGGTGGACAGCAGAAAAATGATAGAGTAACCCCAAGTCCTTTCATTTAAGGAGGCAATGGTGAAGGGTGGTGTCCTAGTTAGGGTTACTATTATTGTGATGAAATGCCATAACCAAAAGCAATTTGGGAAGGAAAGGGTTTATTTGGCTTACACTTCTCCCACATCATAGGTCATTACTGAAGTTAGTCAAGACAGGAACTCAAGCAGGGAAGGAAGCTGGGGGTAGGAGCTGATGCAGAAGCCATGGAGGGAGCTGCTTACTGGCTTGTTCCCCATGGCCTACTCAGCCTGCTTTCTTATAGAACCTAGGACCACCTCCCACAATGGTCTGGGCCCTCCCCCTTCAATCATGAATTAAGGTAATGCTCTACAGGCTTGCTCACTGTCCAGTGTTATGGAGGCGTTTTCTCAACTGGGGTTTCCTTCTCTCAGATGATTCCAGCCTGTGTCAAGTAGACATAAAATTAGGCAGCACAGTGCCGGGCGGTGGTGGCGCACGCCTTTAATCCCAGCACTCAGGAGGCAGAGGCAGGCGGATCTCTGTGAGTTCGAGGCCAGTCTGGACTTCACAGAGAAACCCTATCTCAAAAAACAAAAACAAACAAACAAATCCCAAATTCAAAGCCAAATAAACAACAACAACAACAATTACTGGAGGCGTGGCTCAGTTGATAGAGGGCCTGCCTCGAATGCACAAAGCCAGGAGTTCCAACCCCAGCATAGCATGAACTAAGTGTGGTGGTACATACCTGTAACCCAGGACTTGTGAGCAGAGGCAGGGGGATCAGGAACTGAAGGTTACAGAGCCAGATGCCAGACTCAGATCTGTCTCAGTTCCTAGGAAGGGCCTGCAGCTGTCACTACAGAGCCGGTCAGAGGGTCACTTGGTAGTGTACTGGGGACACAACACCATGTGGACAGCACTCCCTTGGGTGGGACAGTCCACAGCACCTGTGAGAGAGCCACAGTGGCCCAGGATGGAGCCCAGGCCCAGTCTGCACGGCCTCACTAGCCCTAGATAGATAAGACACAGAATAACTGGAGCCCGTTAAGTGTGGGCGCTTGGACCAATGAGCCTGTTAAACAGCGTGTCCACGTCACTAAGTGAGGAAAGATGCCAGACAGTGAGCTGAGACACCAGAGACAGCTGGGGAGGAGGTGGGAAGCAGAGGTCAGGAGGAGTCAAGCCCAGCACAATGAGGACTGAGAGTCCACAACGGAGAATCACGTGGCACGAACCAAGACTGGACTCCCACCAACCTTTCAATCCTTGGTCTCAATTCTAGACGCCGTGTTCCTCTCCTGCTTTCCTATAGCCCTCACATGGAACAGGTTTCATACAGGTCACTCTGTGAACCTATTCCTCAGGACCCCTGGGCCGCCACATCCTGAAGACGACAGTCACAGGAGGCACTGGGCCCTCGCCTTAGTCAGCATGCCATAATATGGCAAGATGACCCTCCACCCCTCATCCGGCCTCTGGGCCACATACTGAGTCGCTACCATAGCCCCTCGATGCCAACACCCGATAACCATCAACTTTCCAAACTGCAGGGTCACCGCGTAAGGAAGGCACTGGAGAAGGGTCAAACGGGGTCTGTTCGCTACCGCCACTCTGCAGTCTTTCAGGGAGAAGCGCTGGCCGTGCGTCCTGGAGATGCTACAGAGCAGCTCAGTTGTGTGCTACCCCTGTCCATCCCCGTACAAGACAAACATTGTAGCAGCCTCAGGGCTCGAAGGAGGTGGAGTGAGCTACCAACTAGCTAGGAGATTTGACAATGTCCCTACCTGAGCCTGGTAATGGCACCCGCCTTGTGCATGCGCCCCAATAACCAAACTACCTGTTTTTGTTGTTGTTTTTTCATGTGTGCAGTGGTATTTTGCCTGCAGGTATGTCTGTGTAAGGGTGCCACATTCCCTGGAACTGGAGTTACAGACAGTCGTGAGCCACCATGTGGGTGCTGGGAATTGAACCCAGGTCCTCTGGAGGAACCTGCTGTCAGTGCTCTTAACGATTGAGCCATCTCTCCAGCCCCGAACTACATGTTTGAAACAGCAGAATTATAACACAAACCTCAAAAAAAGATGGGCTTGAAATGTAAAGACCTGGCAAAGTTGAGAGGATCAGAAAAGTCACCACTGTTGACACAGTATGAATGACACTGAGCAGCTGTCTGCTCTGTCCCTGGGCTTCGTCTCTTTTGAAGGGGAAGCATAAGGTGCATGGCCTTTTGTGTCCCGCTTGTCCTGAGTGTGATGTCTCAAAGGGCCTCCGACTGCAGTGTGTCAGAACTTCATTTCTCTTCATTTGACATGATGTCTGACTGTAGACAGATGTGTGTGCTGTTTTGGTTGCTTCCACCACCTGATGGTGTGAATGGTCTTTGTGAGAAGGAGGGCCGTCCTGTGACATGCTCCCCGGCCCCAGCTCCCAGCACAGTACAGAGGACCCACAGCTGTGCAAACGGAGAAGCCTGGGGACACCTTGCTGCCCAGACTATTGCGGCCTATGGCCAGGTGATCACAGCAGGAGTGACATCCAAGCGTATCCCTGCCAGGCATGCTGACACACACCTTCAGTCCCAGCTCTCAGTAGCAGAGACAGGTGTGTCTGTGAGTCTGAAGCCAACCCGGTCTATATGGTGAGTTCCAGGTCAGCCAGCGCTACACAGTGAGAAGCTATCTCAAAAACAAGATCAACCAATTAAACAAAAACTAAGGGGTATCCTCAGAGAGGTGACAGGGAGGAAGGAAGCCACTATGCTCATCACAGGCTCAGTCATCATTAACAAATGATGGGAGTGGGGAGGGGAAAGCCAGGGTGGAGGCAGCCAAAGCCTCCCAGCTAATGGGAAACCACAGATGGCAGGGAACACAGAGGAAGGAAGCCACATCTGCCCACTGCCCTTCCCTCCTTACGCAAGCCTTCAGTTTCCTTCCCCCTTCCTACACAGCAGAGACGCTGCCCGGGGTGTTGGGGCCCCCAGTGGGCCAGGGCTGCAGGCTGTAAGGGTTCCAAGCAAAGCAGCATGAAGGCACAATCTGGGGCCACGTCTTCCTGGATTCCCAGGGCAGTGTGAACATGCAATCCGGGGCCACATCTTCCTGAATTCTGAGTTCCCACGGTGGCATGTGCACGCAATCCAGGGGCCACATCTCCTTGAACGCTTACGGCAGCATGAACATGCAATCTGGGGCCACATCGCCCTGACTTCTACAGCCAGGTCAGAGCAAAAGTTCAGACCAGCACTTTGGGGGCTGACAGCCCACATCCAGGAAATTGAAAGCTTAGGCAGGGGTCACAAGCTGAAGAAGTCCTTGTGATACCTGGTCCTGAGCTGGGACGGATGTTTGACTGGGAGGTGGTTTGTGGTCGGGGGCGGGGAGGGGGGCTGTAACAGCCATGGGAACCAGTTTAGCCAGCACTGCCAGGGGAGCCACAACTACTGGCTTTCCTGTCACACTTCTGGGGATGTCAGCTCACCCAAAAGGCAACCCGAGCATGGGCGCTATCATCACTCATCTCACAGGAGGAAACTGAGGCCTGGGGCCGGGGTGCCTGCCTCCAAAGATCACACACCAGTGAATGCAGAAAGAGAGAGAGAGAGAGCAGCCACCACAGTTCCGTTGCCCCACACCTGTGCCCTCAGCCTGAGGACCCAGCACGGCTCAGGAAGGAAGCACAGGATTGGAGGACACGCAGGGCCCTCCCATGGTGCAGAGGCTTGGTGGGAGGCGTCTGCGCCCTGCAGCCTGCTCTCCAGTCCCACCGGTGAGACTCCAGTGCCTAAGCTGCTGACACTGAGGCAGGCCGCTCACTACCTCACTTCCCACTACCTCACTTCCGCTCAGGCTGAGCTGCAGGGCCTCCAGTCCACTGCCTGTCCCCAGAGGCTCCTCCCACTGGGCCCCGAGGTGCCCAGTGACAAGCAGAAGATGCCTCCAGAAGAAGACTGACAACACAGGGCTGTCCCTTCACCAGGGGACAGGGTATGTGACAGGCAGAGGGCACAGCGGCAGGCTTCAGAGCAGAGTGTGTGCTCCCCTTACCAGCAGGTAAGAGTCCCCACCCGACCTCCACGCCCTGCCCAGGCCCTCCCTATGCCCTGCCCAGTCCCCAGGGGAGGGCCCAGGCATTAGGACTTTGGGACAAGGCCCAAGTGAGAGGCTGGAGAGTGAGCCACGTGCCTCTCGAGGCCGCATCCTCTCATCGAAGCCTGACAGGCAAGGGGCACCGGGAAGGGCCAGAGGTCACTTAGGGACCATTCTTGGGAGGGATACAATAGAGTTTTGCAGAATTGTCAAAACACAACCAGTGGCCACACAGAGAATTGGGGTCAAATACGGAAGTACCAGAGGCAACCCCAAGACAAAGCAGTGGAGAGTGGCCCTTTGTAGCCCCACCAGCCTTAGAGTCCATGAGCTGAATCTGCCATTCTGAACTCACGGCCAGGAGGCTGACACGGCAATGTGGGTTGAGAGATGCCTTCCTTCACCACACATCAGGCAGAAAGGGGGCAAGAGAGGGTGCAGTGAGTGTCCTGGAGGAGGGAGGCCACTGGGAAGAAGCCTCCTCAGCCATTAGGGTCTCCTCAGACTTCTCTCCCGCTAGAGTCAGATTCCTCCTTCCTGGGGCAGTATCCTGGCAGCATCCAGGGCTGAAAATGCACTCCGGAGGAATCCGGGTCCCCAGTTAGTGGCTTTCTAACCCCCCTCGAGTCAGATAGCAGTGGGCCCCAGGAACTACCCAGAGGCCCAGGCTGACAGTGCTGGGATGGCTCTCCCACAGCACTCAGGAGGCTGAAGGAAGTGTCGGAGACCAGCGCCACAGGGCAGCCTGGGGCTGACGCCACGTCACCAGCCTGCAACATGAAGTAAGCTGCAGACGTGTGCATGCACAGGGGTGGGGTGCAGGTGAAGACCACTGCATTTCAAGACTTTAAAGTGTGCCCAAGAATGTTTACCTCCATCCGGCTGAGGCTCTCCCTCCAGAACTCGGTGCCTCCGCTTTGTGCTCCTCCCAGCCAGCGTCATGGCATCCCGGGCAAGGCCTGGCGGAAAGGATGCTGGACACCAGCAAGCTGACGTGCTTTCTGGCATCATGTCCAGGCAGAGCCCCACTCCATGCAGCCCCAAGATGCAGCTCTGGCCATCGGTGTGCAGGGTACCAAGGGGTACCCGTGTCACCTGCCATCCAGGCTGGAGTATTTACTGTCCTGAGTCACTCTGTGTAAGGGACAGAGGGGCCAGACCCTCATCCATATGGCAAGGTTCCAGGAGCTGGTCTGCTCTGGTTGGGAGAACTTTTCCTGGCTGGGTGGGGCTCCAGCTCTTATTTTAGGTTGCAAATGTCTTTGCCTTCTGGGAGGGACCTTCTGTGAGTGGCCAGCACACTTCTGCAAGAAAGCTCTGGAAACCCTCAGACTCACACACACGTCACTCCTCCACCTCAGAGATAGGTCCATTTGGATTCTTCTAGGTCACATGGTCCAACCATAGCCCGCTTAAACACAGTGTGTGGTTTGGATGACTCCAGGCCAAATCCTGTTTTTCCTTAGGAACCGTGGGTGTCTGTGCCAGTCTGTCTTTGGCAAGTGTTGAGCAATGGAAGGAAGGCTGGATGAACAGAGAACATGCCCCAGCCTCACAGCAGCCCCCGACAGCTGAGGGAGCCTTGTGTGGACCCTAGGGCCTGGCACAGGTGAGCACTTTTTATTTTTATGTCCTGGGGAGATAGCAGCCCTGCCCATCCAGTTTGTCCTCCTGCCTCGGACTTACCAGTGAATGTGCCCAGGAGCCATTTCTGGCTGTGGGAAGTTTCTGAAAACCAATTTCTTTAGGGTACAGGTCAGTTCCGTTAAGTAAAAGAAAATTCTAGACTTTGGTATGGCGATCCAGCGTCTTCCTGAAGGAAGGGTTCAGGGCGGCTCTGGTCAGCTCCCACATGAAATGGGAAGGCCGAGGATGGTGAGAAAGCACAGCCAACGTAGGCAGGGCTGTCAGGCTAATCACTACGGGAGGACTTTCATGGGGGGGGGGAGTGGCAGAACATAAAGACTGTTCTGTAGGAGGCACATCTGGAATGCTTGACATAAAGACTGTTCTGTAGTGGGCACATCTGGAATGTGTGCTTGCATGGGGCAGGAAACCTGAAAACAGAGAAGTCTTTTGGGTTGACTGCAGCAGGGTGAGGTGGAAACGCAGACAGCGGGAACGGGCAGGGCTGGGAGGGAGCCACTGGAAACCGGGCGATCAGGCCTACCACCTCTGCACAAGGCGGGCTTTGTACTCAGACGGGTTAGCACTATGCTCCGGACACGTGTCCCTGTGAGCCACTTCCTAAGACCTCCATGAAGGTTCTCCCAGGGGTGCTCTGCAGTGCCTCCTTGGGGCCGGTTAGTGGACCCAAGACCACAGCCTTGAAGGAGAACTTGCCTCATCACCTCCCAGCAGACACATGGGGACACAGGCTCACTGGGCCCCAGAGACAAATACCCACTCCTTCGGAAGCGGCAGGAGGCGTAGAGTCTTTGCTCTTTCTGGAGAAATTAGCTGACGCAAGCCAAGCACCCCACTACCCTCCTAGCTCCTCTTTTGGGGCTCACCTGCTTGTCTCTGGCTGGCCAGAGTTTCCTCCTGCTCACACCCAGCTCAGGCCATCAAGACCGAGAATAAACAGCTGGTCAAAAGAGCCGGAAGACCTGTAGTTGGAGGAAGGATCGACGGGGAGGTGCCACGGAGGGCAGGCTGCAGAGAGAAGCCATCATTTTTACTCAGAAGCCCTTGCCTGACTCCTTTGCCGTCACTGCTGGGGTACCAGATACTGCAGAGCGAGGGCAGGAAAGGATCTGAGCTTTGCCCCCCTCCCCCCGGAGCCCGCCACTGTAGTATGAAGACACCCTCCTCAGTGGCTGTGTACATCCTCACAGAACGCCAAACACCTCCTGGCGACCCCTGAACTGCTTCAGCTCCGGCCTCCCTCCAGGCAGTCCAACACAGGAAGGCTCAATCTCTTGGCTGGTATCTGGGGCAAATCCTGCTTTCGGGGAAACTCGGGATCACCCACTCTAGCCACAGGCATCGTAGCCACAGGCATCGTGCGGGTTTCTACTCAGCGGCCGAGTAGCTGTTTGAGCTACTGGATCTCAGGACAGCAGAGGGCCGGCCTCAGGTGGCACCTGGTGACAGGGACGGTTGGCTCTAGTGCTGAGGGCCAGTACCACCAGTCCTGAACAGGAATTTAAAGGCCAGCTTGCTCCTCAGCTCTCCCCAAGCTCAGCTGAGTGGGAAAGGTCACACACAGCCATGTGTAAGGCAGAAGAAGGGTGGCAGACAACCAGCAAATGCAGAAACCTCCCAAGATCCTGGTCTCACCCTCTCTGGTCCATCCCTCCGCTCCCATCTCTGCTGTTCACGGAGGGGAAGCTGAGAAAACGCAGGCCTTCAATAACCAGAGTGCGCTCTCTGAATACGCTGCCAGGGAAGGAGCGTGCTAGGGTTCCTGAAAAGAGGGGGAGGCGTCTGCACAGGAAGGGTCCGCCTTCTTACCCACAGGCCCATGGAGCTTCCATTCTGCAGGAAGCAGGAAGCCTGTGTGCGGCCAGGCAGGTCTGCCCAGCTGGGCCACTGGTCACTGGACTGGAGTGCCCGTCTGGCTCACAGCATATGGGGACCAGGAGGAGGACTGAAGCTCCTAGAGGCCAGGGTCTGTGTGTACGTGTGCATGTGTACACACAGTTTACATTGGTGTGCCCAAGTGTATTCATGTGTGCTTGTTTGTAAAGATGTGCCTGTGTGTGCACACACATCTACATGTCAGGGTGTGTCTGGTATAGGCATGTTTGTGTTTTGGTGTATCCAGATGCCAATCTACCTATGTGTGTGCACATGCATACTTGTGTGTTGGTGTGTGCCTGGCTATACACACATGTGCATGCATGTTTGCATGTTCGTGTGCCTCTCGTATACACACATGCACACACATCTACCTGAGACAAAAGGCACATGTACCTTATCTGCAAGATTTGAAAAAGAAAACAGGAAACTGCTTTTATCTTTATCTTAATGAAGGCAATTTTCTCAATTCCTTAAAAGAAAAAATATAGAAACAGATAGCCTTGGGATCGAAAGGACAATAATCAAGGACAGACAGACAGGCCTGCGCTGTCCATTGTGACAGCCATTAAGTCCCTCACTGCCCTTCCAGAACCCATGGGCTGGGGGGGTCAGAGGCTGGTGGTCCCTATCTGGCCCTACACACCACCATGATGTCAGTCCAAGCTCCCCCAGGGTCACACCTCTGTGCAGAGGGTGGCCTGGGGGCTGGAGTCCTCGAGCCATGTATTTGAAGCAGACACAGTGACTCACCAGCAGGTCCGCCCCAGTCTGCAGGGCAGGAGACGGGGATGGAAACATTTACAGAGCCAAGGCCAGAGGTGCTAGAGTGGCTAAGTCCTGCCAGAAGGAGGAGACAGCTGAGGGACGGGGGGGGAGGTGGGGCCTGCAGGGCGGAGCAGTGGATCACGCACAGGAACCCATCTCCCAGGGCAGCTCCGGCTTTCCATGCACCAGCTCTGGACTCAGCTCCCCAACCCACTGTCCACCCTGTTCTGAAGTCTCACACACCGTGTTCCCAGGCCTCCCGTGGCCTTGGCTGGCAGTCTGTGGGGCATCACAGCAAACCTATGATCCCTCAAAGACTCACTCTTGAGACTGATGCCACTGTGGGGGTAGAGGGGGAGCCAGCAAATCCTTACGTGGCCTGTGCCTCCACCTAGGATGCCGAGGCCACCTCACCCGAGGTACCACACACATATAAGGCCAGCCATGCTACCTGTGGGTCACACAATAGAATCTCACACATTTACGCTACATACGTGCAGAACTTGTGAGCCCTGCTGGAAAGATCTGCAAGTGTGGCTTGGAAGGGTCTGTAAGAGCATCGCTCCCGTGCGGGAAGGGCTTGGGAAGCGTTCTCATGGCCTTTGGAAAATGCCCTGTACTGTACCCACCCCCCGTCTCCCCACCTAAGCAGCGCTGCGTAAGCGAGGGGGCCACACTTACAGGAACCATTCTGAAGGGCTATTTACAGAGTGGCGGCCAAGAACCACAGTAGGAACACAGCATTCTCAGACGCTAGCCTTGGGGAGCTCCCAAGAGACACACAGCTGACCCTGGCAGCCCTTCTGCAGGGCTCTGGAGGCCCGGGGTTCTCAGCCTGAAATGCATCCGTGGAGTGTCTGTCCCTCTTCGGTGGCATTCTAGAGCCTCTAAGAAGCTAGACTGGGTTGTGCTAAGAGAGTGGGACGGTGCAGCTACCCTGGAAGATCGGCAGCCTCGTCTGACCTGGTTAGTCACATCACTCTCAGATCTGTGCCCCAGAAAAAAAGAAAGTGTTGGCACTGGAGGGCTGAGAGCAGCTGTGTAAGAGTGACTGCCTGACACTGTCCGGACCTCTAAGTGACAGGGAGAAACTACTAGTGGGCCAGGCAGTGACAACCAGGACACAGGGGGCAGGCGCCTCGTGTGCACAAGAAGCAAGACCCGAAGGCTCCACACAGAGCCCTACCGCGTGCTAATCTGGAAATGTCCAAGTTGCACGACATAAAGCAGGCAAATGGCTGCTGGGGCTGGGTGCCAAGGGCGATCAGTGAGGGAGCTGTGTCGGGCGAGGGCCGTGACCAGATCCAAGGTGGTGCCTGCCAAGAAGTGTGTCACTTCTACGAGTTCTTTAAAATTATCTCAGCCAAACTAGGCTCAGATCTCGTGGTATTAACCCCCAGGCCGACCCAGGCAAATTAAAGCAGGCATAGCTGCCCTGCTGCACATATGAACTAAGGTTCAAGTGCATCATCGGAGACAAGCACTCCAGAGCACCAGTGTGCAGCGTTATCCAGTGAAAGGATGCTGGGAGCCAAGCTCAGGCTGGCTCCCCTGTGTAGCCCTGCTGCCTCTCTCACACTCTTCCCGTCCAGCTTGGGGTGGACTGGAGGAAGGGGAGTTGAGGAACGGCCAAGGCTACAGAGTGCCCGGAGAGGGGCAGACGGCTGGGTAGAGAAGAGTGGTTTGTGGGAGATTTGGCAGCAGAGGGCTCCAGTGGCCATGTCACAGAGAATATGTTGGTCAAGGGGCCAGGTGGTCCCGTGGACAGACGAGGTGCTGGCGAGGTCTGGAAGCATGTGACCCTGGGCTCCCAAGAAGGAAGGGCTAGACCCTCCTGACCTTAACAAAGACAGGGCTGCAGAGGTAGCGGGGCATTAAGGTCTACAGGGGGCGCTGTGCACAGGGAAGTCACACTGCACGAAGTAGACGGCTCTTGGCCACTCCTTCCCTAGCTGGCCTCTGCAGGACAGGACCGGGGAGCTCTTAGGGCCAGGGAAAGAGACCAGTTCACCCAGTCTGCATGAGTGCCCACTCTCAAGGGACCAAAGCACATGACGACGGCACTTCTGTGAACCCCTCAACTTGAGCAGGCCAGGTACAGGAAGCAGAGCCCCCCGGTGTGGCTGCGTGACACCAGTGTCCACCTCTCAGGAATCCATCCTTTCCTCTCCCATTCCCGGCTGGGAAAGGATACTGGTGCCCAGTACATACTGGTACAACAGTTCCTAGTTGGAATGCTGAGACCAACTGAGGTGATGAAGAACTGAGGTGATGAAGCCCACTCTGTGTGGGCCCAGATGATGCTAGAACATTCGGGACCTGAGTGAGGCCCCTCCACCCTGGGTGACAGCCTGCAGGCTCCTTCCTCTGGACTAAAGCACAGGGTCTCACAGGACCAAGTGCAGGCTGGACCATACTGGTCCACCGGCTGAGAACCAGAGGCAGGCCATAGCTAGACAGAGGCAGAGCTTACTGTTGCCAGCCAGAAGGGCCTAGGTGATGGATGGCTGCAGACAGTACCCAGGAGCACACCGCACACCCGAGGCATGGAGTGGCTGCAGGGATACATCAGATGTCTGCCCCCCAGCTCTGCTTCCTGACCGTGGTCAGAGATCACAAGACAACTTCCCATTCCACCTGACAAGACAGACTTCAAATTGCTTCCTCCCGAGCCGGCCATGACTCTTCATTTCCACACCGCTGGCTCTGTAAGCACTGGCAGCTGGAAGCCATCACAGCCACTGCTGTGTCTTTTCAGACTGAAAGAGATAGATACGATGAGGGGCCCGCGGGCCCATGGGGAGTAGCAGTGGCTGGTCAGCGGCGGCACCGCAAACATCCGAACACACCTCAGACTCATCAAAGTCAAGTCCAGGATGGCATCACAGGGCTAAGCATGGTCACCTTCCTGCTGCTCAGGACACCCAGAGAGAACTGTCCTCCAGGTCTGAGGGATGACGGGGTGAACAGGACAGCAACATACAGTGGTGAGCTGATGACCAGGGCAGGATCCTTAAGTCCAGAACCCAAGAGGCTTGTGGACAGACAGAGGCTGGCCCGGACTCCTGAGTCTATAATAGCATGCATTGTGAAATGCTCAAAATTAGTTTAAAAACAAAACAAACAAACAAACAAAAAACATTTGTAGGGGCTGGAGAGATGGCCTGGTGGTTTAAGAGCACTGGTTGTTCTTCCAGAAGACCTTGGTTCAATTCCCAGCACCTACATGGTGGCTCAACATTGTCTGTAACTTCAGTCCCAGAGGATCCGACATCCTCTTCTGACCTCAGTGGGCACCAAGTATGCATATAGTACCCAGACATACATACAGGCAAAACAACCATGCACATAAAATGAAAATAACAATCATTCAAAAACTTAAATGATAACAAATTATAAAAACAAAGAACTTGGGGCTGGCTCAGTGGTGGAGAGTTCTTGCTACTTTTCAGAGGCCCCAAATAACCCCAGTTCCACGAGATCAACACCATCCCCTCATTCTGGTCTCCTCAGGCACCTGCAAACACACACACACACACGCACACGCACACGCACGCGTAAAGCATTCCCAGGTGTGTGCACTCCTGCCTTTAAGTGCATGCCGGGAGAAGACCCACTTGCCCTTCTCCATCCCCTCTACCCTGCCCATGCCCCTTTCCTGTCTCATGTCCCTGGTCAGTGTGCAAGTGTACACTGTGTGCAAGTGAAGCAGTCTCTCCCTCCATGTTTCCTATGTACAACCACTGCTGTAGCCTTTGGTTTTGTTATTGTAGAAACACAGGTTCTTTATATATCATGTGGCGGCAAGCAGCAGGCATCTTGGACCATAAGCGTGAAACAGGAAGAAAGAGCAGGCGAACTGGAAGTGTGGCTGGGCTCTGTACCCTCGCGAGTGCTCTCAGCCGAGCCCTAACTCCTAAACCTCCTCAAACAGCGCCACCAACTGGGGGCCAAGGATTCAGATACCTGAGCCTCCACCTCATTCAAAACACCAGGGAGACACAAAACCTCAGTCTGGGTGCAGAGCAGGCACATCACCAAGTGCGCGGCAAGCTCCGGGGAGCTCAGAAAACAGGCAGGTTGTTACTACTGGGGGGAAGCTGGCTGGTTATAGCCATCCTCTATTTCAGTCGCACATCAGTAAACTGTAGTCACACTGTGTGCATGAACCAGCCCAGGCCAACACATACACACACACACACACACACACGCACACGCACACGCACACGCACACGCACACCCACACACCCAGACATGTGGCCCATCTTCAGAGCAAACAAAAGCTGGCTCTGGAGCTAGGCCAGCCTTCAGGAGTCCCATTAAAATTATGGCTGCAGTTTTATCACCCTCAATTTCCTTTGAATAAACAGCAATACTATTTCCTAGCCTCCACTACTATTCAGTTACATTTTAGAGGGAGGAAGGGAAACAGAGGGTATGGAAACAAAATTATTTTATTTACCAAAGATGGGCTGGCAGGGCACTGGGGCTGCCAGTGTCCATATTTAAAGCCCTGCCCAGGAATTTACCGCAACTAAGTGATTTCTGGCCAATGGGGCAGGAGGCCTGGCTACCCCAGGGAGCTCCCACCATATCCCAGCCTCTGCAACATGGCACCCCAGTTCCTAGAATATCTCAGTCTCAGGTGCAAAGGCATGCCTGTCCCAGCAATGGCAACCAGCGCTGGTGACTCAGTGCCCTAAAACCCTGTTCCCGGGAAGCTGCCAGCTGAACCCTTCATGGGAAGCAAGCCACTGCCAAGAGCCACGCTCAGAGGCCACTGTTCGCTGCGGAGCAACAGTGGGAGTCCTTGTGGGTCAGCAGTGAGGGTGCCTGGGGCTTCTCTTGACTCATCCTGGACCTCTTAGCACCAGGCTTGCTGGAGACTCTGAGCCCTTGCTCTTGACACCAGCCTGGGCCCTGACATCCTTCCTCCAGTCACAGAGGCTGGCCCTAGGCTCCCTCGGGAAAGCCCGGCCCTTGTGTAGCGCAGGCGTCCTTCACTGGGCCAGCCATGTGGCCACACAGCATGTGCTTCTGTTTCAGGTCCGACAGCTCTCCTGAAGATGGACCGTCACAACATGTCCTGGATCCGCTACCCTAGCCATGTGTCCCCAGCTGTGGAGGACGTCATTGCAGCACAGACCGTCATTTCTAGGTTCGTGCAGGTGTATGTAGCAGTGTTTGTCCCGCTGGGCCTGGTGTCGGGGCTCTTCAGTCTCATCGTGTTCATCCAGGACCGCACTAGGCTGGGGGTTCTGGACAGGCTCCTTGCAGGCCTCACAGTCACTGGCATCTTTGCGACTCTACTGTCCCTCAATGCTGCTGGCCGGCCTGATTACGTGTCCACGACCAACCTGGGCTGTGGGGCGCTCTCATTCTTCTCCAACGTCTGCTACTTTACAGCTCAGTACCTGCAGGGGGCCATGCTCGTCCTATCTCTTCTGCCGGGATCTTCAGGCTACCAGCTCTTGGCGAGGCCTGTGGCAAGCCTAGCTGCCATCGGGGCCTGTGCTGTGTGTAGCTCGCTCATCGTGGTGTCCCTGCTGGGCACATCTGGGGAGCTGCACACAACCACCCTGTGCCAGGTGGATCCACTGACTGCATGGCCGGAATACGAGATTGTCAAGTTCAGCCTAGGCTTCGTATTTGCCTCAAGCTTCCAGATGGTTCTCTTCCTCCTGTATGCTACACAGCCAGCCTGGCGGGTGGCTCCTGCTCCGAAGGACACAGCCTCTGGGCGCTGGGTGGTACTGGCTGTGGCTCTCAACATGTTTGCCTGTAGACTCTTCTATAATGCCATCCTCCTGCATCGGGCCCAGCTGAAGCTTTGGAAGGATGTGGGCTCCCCCAGAGATGAGCTGTTCATGAACCTCGCAGAGCTGGCCCTGTCTGTAGAGAGCTGCATCAACTTGGTGGCCACCCTCCTCCTCCACCCACGGTGCAGGCTCAGGTTGCTGGGCCTCCACGAACGCCTCACACAGAGATGTAGGCGGGGAGCGGACAACAGCATGCCCTTGAACAGAATAGGGGGCTAGACAGGGCCTGCCTGCTGGCACAAGCCACACTCCTTCCTGGTGTTCAGGGAAGAGTGCCTTTCTAGGGAGCCTGGGCAGGGTTCACATGGTCTGGATAGTGTTTAACAAACACGAGCTTGCCTTCGGTCACCTCGGCCTATGCAAAACAAGACAGTTTCTCTTTTCAAATCAACAGACGCACCTTGAGGAACACTGAGTCAAGGACACAAAGGCATGGGTACAGAGGCTGACCAGAGACCATGGGTCTGCTGGAGGGTGTCCTGACTATAATGGCCATGTGTGCCTGCTGGCTGCCATCCTCCATTCCATAGCCCAGGCCGATGATACAGGAAGGGCACTGTGGAAATAAACAGTGCATAACTTGTTTCTTTCTTTTTTAAATAATGTGTGCACTGGTGTTTGCTTGCATCTATGTCTGTGTGAGGGTGTCAGATTCCTTGGAACTGGAGTTACAGACAGTTGTGAGCTGCCATGTGAGTGCTGGGAATTGAACCTGGGTCCTCTGGAAGAACAGCCGGTGCTCTTAACCACTGAGCCATCTCTCCAGTCCCACAGGCTCTCGTTTTAAGTCAGGCTGTAAATCAGAAAAGCCCGCTTTAGCTGGAGTTGTGCTCACTTGGTGGCATGCTGCCTGGCATTGAAGAAGCCCTGGGTTCCATCCCCAGCACTGCGTGCACCTGGCGTGGTGTTGTATACACACACACACACACACACAACTTCGGGCAGGGTGTGATGGCACACCTCTATAATCCTAGCCTTCAGGTGGTTGAATCAGGAGGCTCAGATGTTCAAAGTCAGCTAGGTATACATGAATGAGACCCACACAAAACAAAGGGCTCCACTTTTTTGTTTCTTGAGACAGGATCTCACTACATACAGCCTAGGCTGGTCTTGACTCCTGATCCTCCTGCCTCGGCCTCCTGCATGCTGGGACTCCACGCCTGCATCACCGCACCTGGCTACTTACGTACTCGATAGCTACGTGACATTCTGCTCCTAGGTAGCTGTTGCCATAGCTTTCAACTGCCAGAGAATTCCTGACATCTGCCTCACTGGGGCTAGAGAGATGGCTCAGCAGTCAAAAGTGCACCGTGTTCTTGCAGAGGCCCTGAGTCAGTTCCCAGGAGCCACAGCAGGAGCCTCACGGGTGCCTGTCCTCCATCTCCAGGGGGATCCAATGCTGTCGTCCACGGGCACCTGTACTCACATGCACGTAAACTCCCCCAACACATACATAATCTAAAGAATGCAAATAAGTCTTTAAAAAAAATCTGTCATCACAGCTGGAGCATTGAGATTATCGCCATAAGTGGAGGGTCACTGAAACAGCTGGTTTCCATCCAGCGACAACGGTGTCACACAGGGCTGTGCTGCCACACCGAGATCTGGCAGGTACCCAGCACCGTAGCTGCTGAGAGCTCCAGCATATCCAATGTTGGAAGCCTGGTCACCAGTGTGGTTCCCTCGGGGATCTTTAAGAGGGGAGCCCAGTGGCTTCTTTCTGGCTTCCTGTCTCAACATGTGATCTCTATGTCCAGAGTGCTCTCACCACCAGCTCCTCCCACCATGATCCCATCAGCTCCTCCCACGATCCCATCCATCCCATCACGATCCCATCAGCTCCCCCCAACCCCAATTTATCTGCTCCCGCCAGGATTCCTTCAGCTCCCACCACGCCAGCCATAGTTCCATCTGCCCCTGCTAGGATTCCATCCACTACGATCAAGAACAGGAAGGGCTTCGCAGAGACTAAATTGGCAGGGCTCCCTCATCTTGGATTTCTAACCTCTGAAAATGAGCTACAAAGAATCCCCTTCTTCATGAAGTACTCAGCCTCAGCTGTGCTATCACAGCAATGAAAAACTGACTAAACACCCGAATTCCAAGACATGTCTGTCCTCGGGCCGGGGAAGGTACTAACTAGCCCTCTGGCAGCTCTGGGATTGGCTCAGCACACAGCCAGCCATCGGCTGCCCCGGGCCAGCCTTGTACACCCTCACTCCACTCCCGTTCAATGTAGCCAGAGCTGAGCTGACTACCAAGCAGGTTCTGGGGTGCTCTCTCCATTGTGGTTCCCTATTCTCTAAGTACCATATCCCAACAACAACGACTCGCTCACCCTTCCGGGAATCCAGTCTCTGTCCCTCCACTGATTCCCCCTGTCCTGCTAGGCTCAGAGCTCCTTCCTGTGCTGTGGACCAGAGGATGTCTCAGGAAAGAGGCTGGTGAGTGCAGGCCATCCCCCCAGCAGGACCAAATTCTGCACAGCGGGTCCTTCTGGTATCAAGATAGTCATTCCCTGCATTTGGCCGTTTTTAGTGGTTCATGGTCAGTTCCCTCACGTTCACACTCACGGCAGATGTGGAAGTTGCTAAGTTAATTTATAAATGCCTGCCACGATGGATGCCCACAGCACGTGGCTCAGAAGAGAGGTGGCAAAAAAAACCTCCGTGTGCTCAGGCTACTGGGAGCAGTGGGTCCCAGGGCAGGAGCAGGGAGCAGGACAAGCTGAGGCTCTCAACTCTCTGAGCTCCTCAGCATTCCGGGCAAGGTGTATATTTAGAAATCTGACCACAAAGCCTGAGCCTGCATCGATCGGTAGCTCTCAAATGGGATCCTGGTCTTTCAGCTGTAGTGTGCAGACCAGAAGACAACCTCGTGTCATTTCTCAGGAAGCAGCCACCTTCCTTTCTTTCTTTATTTTCTGCATAAGGGTGTTTTGCCTGCATGTGTGGCCGTGCAACACATGTGTGCAGTACTTAAGGAGGCCAGAAGAGGGCACTGGCTCCGCAGAACAGCAGATGGCTGTGTGAGGCCACGTGGGTGCTGGGAGTTGAACCTGGGTTCCCTGAAAGAGCAGCCAGTGCTCTTAACCGCTGATCCATTGCTCCAGCCCACTCCCCCTTTCCCCTTTGGCCCCTGGAATTAGCCTATTAGACTAGACTGGTTGCCCAGGGAGTCCCAGGGATCCACTGTCTGTGCCGCCTCAGCACTACAACTATAAGCCTTGACTTTAAAAAGTTCCAGGGGAAGCAACGCCTTCTTCTGGCTGCCTCAGGTACTGCACACATGTGATGCACAGTAGCCATGCATGAAGCAAAACACCCAGCCACACCTGATTTTTGTGCATGGGTTCTGGGGTTTTCCTTGCAAGTACTGACTGCGCTCTCTCCCTGGACCTGGACCTTTGTACTTCAAAAGGGCAGTAAGCTGGGTGTGGTGGTGCATGTCTATGATCCCAGCACTCAGTAGGCTCAGCAAAAAGGATCGTGATTCCAAGACCAGACCAGCCTGGGCTACATATGGAGACCTTGTCTTAAGTACAAATCAAATAACAGCAGCAAGAACAACAAAAATGGAGCAGAAGGGGGCAAAAATGAAAACCACTGAGATCTGATGATTAGGGGAGGGGCTCCGGGGACTAGGGGAGGGGCTCCGGGGACTAGGGGAGGGGCTCCGGGGACTAGGGGAGGGGCTCCGGGGACTAGGGGAGGGGCTCCGGGGATTAGGGGAGGGCTCCGGGGACTAGGGGAGGGGCTCTGGGGATTAGGGGAGGGGCTCCGGAGACTAGGGGAGGGGCTCCAGGGACTAGGGGAGGGGCTCTGGGGATTAGGGGAGGGGCTTCAGTGCTGGAGCAGCAAGAGGCCAGAGGCTTTGCACCAGAATCCTGTGGGAAAGATCCCAAGCCAAAGTCCCCCCCCCAGCAGGTCCTAGACGGGGTTAGGCCCACTGGATCTGTGTCTCTCTCTCTTGACCTGGCCACATACCCATTATGTCATAACCTCCTGATAATTCCTAAGAGCAAGGAAGGGTCTTTGTACATGAGAAGCCAAGAGGAAGACCTGGAGCAAAGGGGACGCCTCAGAATGCAATTCTGGATGCTCTGATCCAGGGCAAGGGTGCAGGAAATCTCAGTGTTGCCAAGGTAACTTGGAACTAATCGTGGGTGGGGAGAGATCCCCGTGGAGGCCCAGCCCCCCTTGGCTAAGAAAGGGCTTGTGAGTTGTAAACAAGGACCCGTCTCTTCCACTCCTCCAGAGCCTCACTCACCTGTCACTCCCCGGTGTCAGGGGCCACCCTGATAGCACTCAGGGCCCCTCCACCCCCATCTGCACTCGGAGCTGCGCACACTCACTTCTGGTTGCCAACACTCTCCAGGAATCAAAGGAAGCAACCAGAATGCTCCCAGCAACCATGGAAGGAAGGGGCCCAGCTGTCAACACTGCGAAGCTAAGCCGCTCCCTACAGGCACATGGCTGTGTGTTCTGAGTGCTGGGGGGGGGGGGGCAGGTAGCAGCTGCAGGACAGGGATATGACACTCTCCTGGGGCTGCAAATTCCTTCCCACATTGGAAGATAAGGCTACTGAACTCTGTGTGTGTGTGTGTGTGTGTGTGTGTGTGTGTGTGTGTGTGTGTGTTTCTGGGAAACAGCCCCAGATCGATCTAGACGGCACCTGCAGTATGCACATAGGATGCCTGTCTGCAGGAGGTCTCCCGAATCTCACAGGACCAGGACCACAGCACCAGGATGCTCCTAGGGACCAGATGCCCTGTTCCCCAGGAACTTAAGTGAGGGTGCCTCCCTTGAGGTGTAAGTTTCCCAGCCACCATCTCACAAGAAAAGTGAAGGCTAGGGAGTTGGGGAGGCTGGGTCACAGCTCTGCACTGACCCTGATAAAACAGCCTTCGCGGGCCAGAGTGGGCAGATGGAGTGCTGCAAGACCGGCAGCATCAGTCTCCTGTGCTCAGCCAATGGCCCAGGAGAGCTGAGCCCGGACTGGCCCCTCACTGCTTGGGACCTAGACAAGTGCTTGGCTTCTACAGCTCTGGTTCTTCCTTTATAAGGAAGATGCCAGCCTCTCAACCTGCTTAAGTCGAGTATTAACTGTCCTGAAGCACTTGTGCTGCAGAGTTAGAAGTCAGTGACATCTCCAGGCAGGGGCCGGAAGTCCCTGCCTCCCAAGTCTGGACCACCAAGAGAAAATGCACAAATTGGGTCTGGGGAGATGTTGGTAAAGATGCATAAGAACCTGACTTTAGACTCCTAACATCTACATAGGGAGGTGGTGGTGTGCAGCTTTAATCAGGAGGCAGAGGCAGGGGGATCTCTGAGTTCAACCAAGACCAGCTTGGTCTACAGAAAGTTCCAGGACAGCCAGGGCTACACAGAGAAACCCTGTCTTGAAACAACAATCACAACAAAAAGCTGTGTGCAGCATCACACACCTATAGTCCCAGTGATGGGAGTGGAGACTGGAGGATGCCTAGAGCTCACCGGCTGGCCAGCCTAGCTGAAGCAGCAAGTTCTCAGGTTCACTGAGAGATCCCATCTCAAAAAAGAAGGTGGACAATGACTGAAGGAGACAGTGGACATAGTCCACTGAGACACACACACACACACACACACACACACACACACACACACGCATGCACGCACGCACACGCATAAACAAACACCTACACATGTACACAAAATGTATAAACGCTGCAGAATGGAAACACATGGGCATTTTCTCCAGGCTTTGTGCTATGTTTCCCGACACACATGGCTTGACACTTCAGGGGCAAACCAAATCATGCAAGCAATCCTACAAATGCTTTTGATTGGCAGGCCATCTCCCTAGTTGGGACGCAAGGAAGACCAGAAGAGCCGAGAGCACTAATGGTTGACTCAAATAAATGGCTATCACACTTAGTCCTAACAAGACTAAGAAGTAAGGTGGCCTCGGTGATGAAGGGAAGCTTCCTGCTTCACCCTGAAGAAAGCAGAAAGGCTTTCTTCATGGGTCATATGTGTCCTAGGATAGCTATAAATAGGCCAACACACTTGTAGAGAATTACAATGTCAAAGGGCCTTTGCAGAACTGTCTTATCTCATGCCCATGCTCCAGGTGACCACTGAGGAGTGAATGGGAAGGGAGCTGGGCAATGTGGCACACTGGCCATGCTCAGACTATAGGACCATGTCCCCTGAGGTATCTGACTGTCAGGTAAGAGGTGACCCTGGATCTATGAGGTGCTGGGGCTGTTCTGTGCTGTGTAAGAGGGCAGGAAGACCAAGAGAGAGAAATTTGGGGGGAGACGTGGCCAGCACTGCTGGGACTAGGGATCCCTAGAGGCACTCTGGACCCTGACCCGGAACTTCAAACGATGAAGGGTTGTGTGCTGGGTAGCAGGGAAGCTCCTGTGAGGGGTTTCATTCTCCTGATGCCTGCTCCCCATATATGGTCCAGTACTGTCTGTACATTCAACAGGTGTGGGCCCTTCACACTGGACTTCCTCAAGTCCCTCCTTTCCGCCTCGAGTCACACGTAAGGTGTGAATTCAGCAGCCCGAACCCTTCCTTGCCATGGTACACCGGCCAGAGTAGGTTCCTCAGACACAAAGCCACTATAAACAACTGTAGACGTCTGCGCAAAGCATAGCAAAACCAGACCCCCACAGACGAGCAACTCATGTGGGAACAAGCATGGCTGGTGTGGGGGCAAAGACCCTGGCCCAGACTCGGCCACCAGCCCTGCCTTCTGCTGCTCACACTACAGACTCTGTCAAGAAACCAAGGCTAGCGGCAGTCCGCTCTGAAGGAGGCCTCCTGGAGACTCTGTCACAGATCACTATGGGGAGAGCGCGGAGGAAGCCCTCACCAGACAGACTTACCACTGTACTGCCAGAATCTTCTCCAAGGTCTCTCTCATCCCTTATCCACACTAAAATCTACAGAGGTCAGGAGGCAGAGATTCCTTCTGCCCGGGTCCTGCCGTGATGACACAGGTCCTGAGTGCTAGACGTAGGTGTGACTACCTGGTCTGTGGAAGGGGAGGCTGGGCTCTGAGTAGGATGCCTCCCCACCATTTCAGCTGCCATCCTGCACCTGTGCCAGGGCCAGGGCACCCAGGGGACTCCCCAGGCACCCAGAAGGCGAGGAAGGCCCTCTAGCTGCTCCAGCACCATGGAACCTTGAGCAAGGGCTTGCAGAAGTGGGGAATTTTTAAGGGAGCGGCTATTTTTAAGTGGCACGCCTTGGCTATTTCAAGGCTTGGGTTTCTGTTTTATTTATTTAATTCAAAGGGAAGCTGTGTTTTCTCATGATCTGTTCCTTTCAAGATGGTGTCGCAGGCGTTTTTTAATGTTGACGTCATCTTGACTTGGTGAGCTGGTCAAAAGACACTGGAGGGCCAATGGGCTCTTACCACGCTGCTCAAACGAGAAAAGAGCCAACACAGTAGTCAGGACTTCTGCAGCTCACAAGGGCCCTGACTTAGTATTTTTCCATTAAAAAAAAACTTAACACTGAACTCTGCTTAAAGGTCTGTACATTTTTCAAAATACATGTCCCAAAGATGCTAAGGCAGGATCCTACAGAAAACCACCAAGCATGTTCGCAGCAGGATGCTATGCAGACAGACACAGGGCAGCAGCAGGCCAGCGTTCCCGGGAGACGCCCGTGCAGCTGTCTGCGTGCAGGTACTGCTTTTTTTTTTTTTTTTTTAATATTTTATGTGTAGGACTGTTTCACCTGCATGTGTATCTATGTACCACCTGTGTGCCTGCTTCCCAGAGTTCAAAAGAGGGAGCTGGATCCCCTAGAACTGGAGTTAGAGATGATGGTGAGCCACCGTATGGGTGCTAGGAATTGGACCCGTGTCCTCTTCAAGAGCAGCCAATGTTAACTGCTGAGCCATCTCCCTAGACCAGTAGCTGCTTCTTCCTGTTACTCAGTCTCCCTTTTGGGGGGCAGCGTGTGCTGGTTTCATCTGTCCCCAGCCAGCAGAAACATGCTAAAAACACACATGCCCATTCTATGTGCTCAACCTCACAGCTTCCCAACAATCAAGAAGATACCAGGACAAAAACATGGGGGCTGCACTGAGGAGGGAGAGGCGGAACCCTGGGTCTCTGGCGAGCTAACCTAGCTGACTGGTGAGTCCCAGGCCAATGAGAGACCCTGCCTCAAAAGCCAAGGCGGACAGAACCTGAGGAATCCTAACTGAGGTTCTCCAGCCTCCACATGCACACACATGCATATGAACATACGTGAACATGCACACACACTCAGATACAAAGAAAGTACAAGTGAGATCAATTCACTCTAAATTCTTATGAATACCAGATAACTTGACTGAACAGCTCAGGTCAGGGCCACCTAATAAGGTCTGATCATGAAGTGAAGCTCTCTCTTCCATGCTTGTCTCCACCTCAGGGCTACAATGCCAATACTATACTATATATACACCCCTATACTCTGGCTGAAACCCCAACAACCAGAAGGAGGGATGCTTCTGGAATGGCAATGAGTCACAGGCCCACTCGGCCCCCAGGGCCTGGGTCCCCTCAACTTGGGCTGTACAAGGCCTAAAACTGGAAACAGAGAAGAGAGGTGGTCCACTGACCCCTGGGCAGAGGGACATTAGACCCAGCTAACATTAGAGCAGAAATCCCACCTGGATTCCTAATTTCTGATCAGAATACTTGCTACCTGTGGGCTGCATTTCCTGCTGCAAGCATCCCCAAGAAAATCATACCTTACATTTGCTGCGTTCCTGGCGACCTACTAAAGGTGACTGAGAAAACCCAGGGATCAGTCTTAGAAGCCAGCACCACTCCAAGTAAGCAAGGGTATCATCACTTGCTTCTACAAACGAGTAGAGGTTTCATACCTAAAAGGTAAACAATATTATAATCCCTCCACACTTCAAATGAATGTGTCCGTGGGTGAACAGCAGCAGTCACCCTGGAAACTTCCATAAAATGTGTGTCCAGCAGGACTGTTTACACTGCCTACATACGGGAGAAAAAAAAAAAACCAAAAAACAGCCAGCAAAAAAATGGTTAATGCTGGCCTTAAAAAGGAGGCTGGCCAGAGCCCAGTGAGTGTGCTTGGGAAGTCTATAAAGGAGGCGCTGTGCCAAGGGGGCCAGACGCTGCGGGACAGCCACAGGCATCGTGAGCCCGCTCCCTTCCAGACAGGTCTTTCTTTTCCTCTCCTGCTGTATCCCTGCTGAGTGCCATCCCCGAGGTGCTGCAAGTGCAGGGCAATCCCCTGTGGGCAAGCTCCGGGCACTCCTCCAGCTGACAGTCCGGTGACACGGTGGCACAGGTAAGATTTGGGCTCGTGCCCCAGGTTCCAGGTCTGCGTCTGGCTGGGCACTTCTGGCCGTGCTGTGCTGGGAATGGTGGGGCAGGCATGCACCCCTCAGCCTCCAGGGACAGCATGCTAGGTGTGTCCGAGGCAGGGGCTCTGCCCAAGTGCAGGCTACAGCGTGTCCATCTAGAGCGCCACATTCGTGTCCCGGCTACGCCCTGTAATACCACGTTGCTGCCGCGCTTTGCCTGCCAAGGGAACCCCGGGGGCTTGGCAGTTCAGGGACGGGGGTCTTGTAAGCCTGGAAAAAACCTGGCCTTGTTTCCCCAGATCTGGACACACAAGAGAAAAATCAAAAGGACACCAGTGCTGATCTTTAGGCCAACAGAGCAGCAGTTTGGATCAAGGACAGAACCGAGGGTGTTGTCTCTCCCACACTCCACCAGAATGGTTGATCCGCTCTAGGGCTCTGCTCTCCTTAAGCTGCTGGAGTTGTGGCCGAACTTGAGTTTCCACATTCACAGGTTGCAGTCTAGGTGAGTACTTTCAAATTTTGAACTTTCGTTCATTTGTTTTGAGGCAGCGTCTCACTATGCAGCCCTAACTGGCCTGAAACTCACTACATAGACCAGGCTGGCCTCAAACTTACAGAGATCCACCTGCCTCTGATTCCTTTGTGCTGGATTTAAGTATGCACTACCAGGCCCAGCTGTCTTGTTAAATCTGAGAAGAAATAAAGGGAATCCTTCCATACTGTAGTTGAACTCAGAAAAGTGGCTTCCGTGGCTCAGATGGCCACTACCTGGGAAAGACGGTTGCCACCCACACCCACATTTCCAGGACAGAATGTGGCCATGGCAGTGAGCTGCCCCTCCTTTTTTCTCTTATTTTACTGAAGCGTATTTTGGGAGAGAAAAGCCAATAAACCTCTGGCTTGCCCTTGCTTCACCTCAAAACCAAATGCAACCCCCTCAAGAAAGGCAACGGAGATGCGTTTTCAGGAGCCAACCCGTTCACTCTGTCATCCTACCCGGTGTGCCACTGACTGAGTGAGGAAGCCAGGACAGCAGCCGCCCGGGGCGGTGTGGCCACTGAGTAACATCTCCGGCTTCTACCCACTGGGCACCCAGGGTCTCCAGACACTGCCAGTGCTGCTGAGAACTGCCTGGGTCACACCATAGAAAACCCTGGGGCACAGAGTCATACAAGCTAGGAAACATTCCCAGCCACATCCCCACAAATGGACTCAGCTTCCAGGATACGGCATCTAAAATGTTATATTTCACAGTAATTGGTGAAAAGGACAAAATGTTCTCCTTCCTTCGCTTCTTTCTTCTGTATGCCTTGAGAGGGCGTCTCGGGTTATACTGTCCAGAATAGTCTCAAACTCCTGGGCTCAAGGGAACCTTCTACCTCAACCTCTGGAGCAGCTGGGAAGATGAGGAGTCATTCTCAACCATTTAGTGAACATGAGAACAGCCTGGACTACATGAGACCCTGCCTCCAAAACAAGCAGTGTGTGTGTGTGTGTGTGTGTGTGTGTGTGATGCTGAAGATGGACCCTAATGTGTGCCAGGTAAATGCTTTACGACTGAGCTACCCCCCCAGCCCTCAAATGACAGTTTTTCTTCTTGACTCTCTCTCATTCTGTATTGGGGGCAGGTGTTTGTTCCTGGTACCCACACTCATTACTGCCACTAGGAAAAGAGCGAAGCGTTCTTACCACTTTACTAAGAGAAAAGTCAGCTCCCGTTGTGCCGGCTTCTTGGACTACCTTTGAGAAAGACTGGTTTTTTCCCTTCCCATGTCACATTTCTTTCCAACAGCTGCTGAAGTTAATGAGACTTCCTGTCTCGACAAACAGTAGTTTTCCTCAAATTCCCACACGACACATTCACGTTATTTCATGAGCCAGCAATCTGACGGGTCCCACTGCATCTCCCATGACTCACAGACTGTCGCCAGCTCAACCCACCAACTGTGGACACCCTTAGGGGACAGAAAGGGACACTTCCACATCCATCTCTTCTGTTCCAGCTCAAGGGCACCCATCTCTCCAAGATGGCGAAAGCCAGAGTCCAGGCAGGCTCTTAACGCTCATGCACTACCCCTGGCTCCCTCAGGATCCCCAGGATTCCAGATGCTTAATCTTGGCCTGTCTGCCTCCACAGGTGCCCAGAGAGTGAGCAGGCGGCAGGCAGCAGGTGTGGCTGCCCAGCACCCGCCCAGACATCAGACACCCTGTCCGCCCTTCTGGTTTGCTGAGACTAACAGGCTCCCGGGACGATTTTTCCTGCTTTACAAATGCCTGGCTCACTTCCAAGAGAACCACCTTTCTTTGTGAAGATGGAGCAGTCGCTTAAAACAGACTTCTGTGACCCTTTCAGCAAGTCCTGAAAGCTGCCGAGGGAAGCCATGGATGCGACTACTCCAGCCCACACTGTTGGCATGGAGATCTACCTAGGCCCCATGTGGCCGGCCCCTTCCAACAGCACCTCCCTGACCCTCAACTTGTCCCTCCCGCTGCAGGAAGACACCCCGGGGAACCTCACTGGGGACCTCTCCGAGCACCAGCAGTACGTGATCGCCCTCTTTCTCTCCTGCCTCTACACCATCTTCCTCTTTCCCATCGGCTTCGTGGGCAACATCCTGATCCTGGTGGTGAACATCAGCTTCCGGGAGAAGATGACCATCCCGGACCTGTACTTCATCAACCTGGCGGCTGCCGACCTCATCCTGGTGGCCGACTCGCTCATCGAGGTGTTCAACCTGGACGAGCAGTACTACGACATCGCGGTGCTCTGCACCTTCATGTCCCTCTTCCTGCAGATCAACATGTACAGCAGCGTCTTCTTCCTCACCTGGATGAGCTTCGACAGGTACCTGGCGCTGGCCAAGGCCATGCGCTGCAGTCTCTTCCGCACCAAGCACCACGCTCGGCTCAGCTGCGGCCTCATCTGGATGGCCTCGGTGTCTGCCACGCTGGTGCCCTTCACGGCCGTGCACCTGCGGCACACTGAAGAGGCCTGCTTCTGCTTTGCCGACGTCAGAGAGGTGCAGTGGCTGGAGGTCACGCTGGGCTTCATTGTGCCCTTCGCCATCATTGGCCTCTGCTACTCCCTCATCGTGCGGGCCCTCGTCCGGGCCCACAGGCACCGTGGCCTGCGCCCACGCCGGCAGAAAGCCCTGAGGATGATCTTCGCCGTGGTCCTCGTCTTCTTCATCTGCTGGCTGCCGGAGAACGTGTTCATCAGCGTCCACCTCCTGCAATGGACACAAGCAGGGGACACGCCCTGCAAGCAGTCTTTCCGCCATGCTTACCCCTTGACGGGCCACATCGTCAACCTTGCAGCCTTCTCCAACAGCTGCCTGAACCCCCTCATCTACAGCTTCCTTGGAGAGACCTTCAGGGACAAGCTCAGGCTGTACGTGGAGCAGAAGACCAGCCTGCCCGCTCTGAACCGCTTCTGCCATGCCACGCTCAAGGCAGTCATCCCCGACAGCACAGAGCAGTCCGATGTCAAGTTCAGCAGTGCTGTGTGAGAGGGACCTCCCAGAGGGAGGAGGACAGGGGTAGGGGGCAGGCTGGTGTTCAGGGCAGCACACACCCAGCACAGGTGGTGGGTGAACTGAGCCAGGCCAGATTCTCAAAGCCCAGTGGCTTGGGGAACACCACACTGCTGGGTCATCTCTGGGGCTGCTGGGATCTTTGCTGACTATCCAGCTCACGGATGCGGCAATCCAGATTCAAGGGTCCAGGGCAGCAGGGCAGGTGACATTGACCGCTCTACTCAAAGGGCACCATACAACCTGCAGCTTGGTTTTCTCTCCATACCCTATGTCCCCAGAAGATGATTCTGCTGTTGACAAGTGACCGTCAAAAGGATAGGCCACCCTATGGAGCATCATAGTTACATTTCTGCTACATGAATGCTACCTGGGTGGAGGAGTCTAGAGACAGAATGTATGTACCAGACCCAAACGGGCTACGTTTCCTCTGCTTGTGATGTCTAACTGACCATGCACACACCGTCCATGGCAGCAAAAGCTAAGGACACTGGAGCCTTCTTCCTGCCTTCCAGAGGCTGCAGGGTCACCCCAGCTGCCACTCATAACTCCTGAGTGACCACCGTGTCTGAGCTGAGAAAGGCCCTTTAACCAAATGCCTGCCTGCTCCGAGATGCTCACCTCTCACAATGCTTGTTTACAAAGGTGTGTGCTCTTATGTGAAGGTAAAGGAGGCTGTGGGTGCTAGCTACTGTGCAGGTCAGTGGGATGCCACCACGAGACCCCCCGTGGCTCAAGGCCTTGCTTCTACGAAACAACACTGGGAACAGTGAGGTGTGAACGGCTCTCATTAAAATGTAAAAGGCAAGAAGAGAACCAAGGGTTGGTGTGTTCATTCAGTGTCTGAATAAAGTGTAGGCATATGGCGATTCTTCTTTGCTTTGTGGTTCTTGGAATGGAGGGGGAGGGCACAGGTGAGGACGGGACGATGAGAAACTCCCCAGTACACCGCTTCCTTGCCAAGGTAACTATGCCCACAGCTCCACACACCTGTGTGCCACTCTGAGGACCCCCCACCCCCGCCGTGCCCCAAAGGCAGTCTGGCACGGTATGGACCACGTGCTGTGTGGCAGCAAGTAGGTCTTTCTTGTTACTTAGGTTGACAGCCACACTTTGCCCCATTTAGGGTCTGCACAGGACGGCCATCTATCCCCTAGGAGACTCTGGACGGGGAGACGTGCAGGGCTGGGAGTCACGGAGCATGCCTACGGCCAGTAGGGAGGAGCCCTGGTCATGTATCACAGGACAGGCTGCTTCATGCTCAATCTCCGCCCCCTGACCACCCACCTGGGCAGTTACCCACGTTAAGAGACCCACTGCTCGGACTGAGGGCCCTGGGGTCTCTGGACACATGGAGGAGCTGGGGCAAGGCCCTAGGGGCACATACAAGGTAACATGTAGACAACAGAAATGATCCATTTTGTCTCTAAAGAATATACTATTTTCCATTCAAACCTATGACCCTGCTCTTTTATTCTGATGATAACAAAGTGTATTTATAGATAAGCTTAAGTGAAAAGTACATGATATCTAAGTTATTAAGTTAAATATTAAAGATATTTAAATCTTTATCTTTCCAGATATTTAAGAACAAGATCTAGCTGGGCGGCGTTAGCGCACGCCTTTAATCCCAATACTCAGGAGGCAGAGGCAGGTGGATCTCCAAGTTCGAGGCCAGCCTGGTCTACAGAGCGAGTTCCAGGACAGCCAGACTGTTACACAGAGAAACCCTGTCTCAAATCAAAAAACAACCCACACAGGACACAGATGCCCTCTGCCTCGGTGTTCTGTCAGACACAGCCTGTGCGGGCTGGCAGGGCTGCCAGCCTGGAGCACCTGCATCCCCTGCTTACAAGTCTTCAAGAACAAGAGCATCTGTCCCCAAATGTCACCTGAGTCCCACGCAGGGCGGGCTTTCCACCTGGGCAGGACATGGGACACCTCCTCCAGATTGCTGTCCATAAACCAACAGGTGAAGAACCACCATGGAGGTGGGTAGGTGTGTGGTTCTGTCTTCTACAACTCAGATAGAAGCCCTTCCCTCTACCCCGGCCAAGCCTACAAAGGGGTGCAAAGCTCATGCAGCCCTTGCATAATTAAGAGGGGTAAATCCTAAGACACTTTTGTCAGCAACCTCTGAGCCCCAGGCGAAGTGACCAGCCCTCATGGTGCTCCTCCTGACAGACAGTGGAGGCCGAGGAGTGTGACCACAAACCCTGCAGGGTAGCAAGCATCACTCACTGTAAATGCCTGATTCCAGGTGCTCCTTTTGACCTCAGTGATGGTGACAGGAGAAGACCCTCCATTCCAAGTCACAGAAAAGTCAGGGCTGGCCCTCAACTCTTCAAATTTGCCTACGTGGGAGGCATCTGATGGCTGTCCTCGGGCCAGTGTGGTCCACAGAAACCCCAAATATGCCAAGACTTTCCACTCTGGCTAGGGAGGCAGCCAAGGCATCAGAAAGAGAACAGCCCTGAGGACCACACCCCCATCCATATTACAGAGAGAAAACACTAGATGCTTATAGTTTGTGAACACTCAAAGCCACGGACAATAAAGGATGGGGCCAGGAACAGACCTCAGCCTCCAACACCCACACTGCCTTTTCCACAGCACATGGCAGCTCTGCAGCCTGGATAGGGGAGAACATGGGCAGCCAGAGCCAGGGTACCCATAGGGCAGCCAGGGTCACCCTTTCCTGGGCTACACTCCCAGGGCCAATAGTCGGAACTGCCCAAAGTCCCAGAACACTTCTCAAGAGACAGTACTCCTTCCTCCTAGCAAGCCACCCTCAGGTCAGCGGCACCTCTTCAGTCCTTGGACAGTAGCAAAGCGGTCCACTGGGACCACTGTAGCCCCGAGGCCACACAGGACAGGTCCATTCCTTGCTACAGACAACTGTAGCCCCTTGAGGCGATGCCACCTCCTAGCTGGGCTCCTGACCCCGGTCTTCCACAAGCTGAGCTGTGGCAGGCTGGAGCCAGACAGGGTGGGAACACAGCTCCTGCCTCCTCTCTGCCTCAAAGCACACTTCTCCATCCGCAAACACAAGGCAGACCACTCTGGGGATGGGTGCGGTGGTGGATGACAGATGTATATCCCCAAGTCCCGGGGCAGGGTGAGTCGAGACAGAAGGCTGGACTTAGGGGGACAGGCCAGGCCAGAAGTGGCTGGCCCTGCAGGGACCCTGTACAGCCCATCTGACCCCCCTCAAGAGTGTGTCCGGGAGCTGAGCTGAGGCTAACACAATTATTCTTGGCAGAAACACCACAAGATAAAATCAAGGCGTTTTAATTGCACTGCTGTTTCCTGGTAGCCTGGCTCACTCCTGCGTACAAATGTAGTTCAGACCCTAGGAAGAGCAGAGGCAGCCACCATGGGCATGGAAAACCTGGTTAGCCCTGGAAACCATTCCATCACCTCAGAGCTTAATAACGAGCCCTCTCCCGCACTCCAGCTCAGCCGCCCTTCCGGGCCCCGGCGAACAAGACCTCAGGTACAATTAATTATCTTCTCCCTGCTTCGGTGGGACAGAGAGGCCAGCCACCTGGCTGCCCAGGAGAGGCAAGCAGTTTCAAACACACAAAGGATAATCAGCAAGCCTGACGGCATTGCCTTTTGGGGGTTCTTTCCCCAAAGGGCTTAGGCAGTGGCTCCGGGTGGAGGCTCTTGTGCCGCTGAAGTCCTGAACGTGTACCACAAGCAACCCTGGGAGCAGCCTCTCCTGTCTCCTTCATAAACATGTGTACAATTCAGTTCTCGGTGTCTCTGATTCACTGATGCTTTTTAAAAGTGTGTGGGGGGTGTATTTAGAGGGATGGGGGCAGGGAGTGGAGAGTTGCACTTGCCTGTGTGTGTGCACACATGTGGAGGTCAGAGGTCAACCTAGGATGTCTTCCCCTTTAGCACTCAGTAATAAAAATCCTTCCGTTTTGAGACAAGGTCTCTCACTGAGTCTGAAACTTACTGTCTGGCCAGTGACCCCAGGGATCTGCCCGAACACACATGTGTACACACACACACACACACACACACACACACACACACACAGCCAGCCAGCGCAGGAGTTACAGGAACATACCACCATGCCTGGGTTGTGGAGATCCAAACTCAGATCCTCTCCAGCCTCACTAACTTTTTTTTTCCGGGGGTGGGGGGGGTGGGGGGGGGTGTTTCGAGACAGGGTTTCTCTGTGTAGCCTTGGAGCCTAAGGGCGTGTGCCACTACTGCCCAGCGACTAATACTTTTTTTTGTTTTAACGTATTGTGTGTGTAGATGAGAGAGTAACTTCTCAGAGTCGGTTCTCTCGGGGTCCTGAGGATCAAGCTCAGGCCGCTGACTTGGTGCTGAGCTCCTGGACCCACAGAGCCATCTTGCTTTTAATGTGAGAATGATCTAATACGGTCAGAATGGTTCTGCCTCTGAACAGCTTCCTGGGTCCTCAAACTGAAGTGTCCAGTGCTGGGGCTAGAGAGATGGCTGGCTGTGCAGAATGCATGCTGCTCTTGCAGGACCCAGGTTCGGTTCCCAGCACCCACAGGTAGCTCACAAACATCCGTAACTCCAGGTCCGGGGGAGCTGATGCCCTCGTCTGACCTCTGTGGGCACCAGCGGCATGCAGGCAAACCACTCATACACATACAGTACAATAAATCGAAAACTAAGTGTCTCCAGCTCAGTTGGCTGAGTGCTGTCTAGCACTCATGAGGCCCTGGGTTAGATCCCCAGCCAAGCATAAGCTGGGCACTGTGGTATTGCGTTAATCCCAGCACTTGGAAAGTGAAGGCAGGAAGATCACAGGTTTGAGACTTGCCTGGGCTACACAGTGAGAGTGTCTGTCAAAAACAAACCCAAACCCAACTGGTTCAGTATTTTCACTGCAAATTCTAATTATTACAGAGCCACATACAGTACTTGAACTTTGAGTTCTGAGAAGTATTCGGGATCAAATCATCTTCCGGAGACTACAGGTGAACTGCCTTAGGGCTCCTTACCTATCACAGTGGAAAACAGCTGCCCTTGCCCCTCCCCATCATCCTCCGAGAGGCCGCCACAGAGCTCTCTCGAAAAATTCAGCACTAACACTGCTATACTTTGCACTGGATTTAGCTGAGAGATAAAAAATGATTTCTGTGTATAGGGCAGAATTTTAAATTCAAGGATTTTTCTTTTAAAAACAAATCTCTTCAGTTGGAGAGACGGTTCCGTGGGTAAAGGTACTTACCCTCTAAGCCTGACAACCTGAGTTCGATTCCCCAAAACACACATGGTGGAAAAAGAGCCACCCCCTGGAAAGCTGTTCCTCTGGCCTCCATATTTGCACTGTGACATGTGTGCACATACACACACACACACAATAAATGGTAAGTATTAAAACCTCACTAACATAAATGCCTTTAGCCCTAGTGGGAGGGTGGGGAAC